AGCCAGGAATGTTACCAGTTACTCCTCTCCCTCCCCTGCTTACTACCCTCTCACCAGTATACTCCCCTCCCTCCATAGAAGCTCCCACAACAATTTGGTATATATCCTTCCAGACTTTTTACACTGTATGTATATGCATATATTTAAGTTCATATGTCTTTTGGTGAAATGTCATGATTTTCTTAGTATAAGTTTTTCACATTTGTTATTAAAATTATGCCTAGATATTTTAGTTTTATCACTATTTCAGATGAGGTTTCTTCATTACATTTTCTAGTTGAGTATTGCTAATATTTAAAGTTGATTTTACATATAAGCCACATTATGTACTGTCTCTTTAGTTCTCATGGTTTTTCAAGGGATTCACTTTGATTTTCTAGTTGTATAATCCAACAATAGTGGCAGTTTGTTTTCTTCTTATAGCCAATTTCTCTTTCTTGCCTTGTTGCATTGGCTAAAATTTGCAAAGTTGAATATTAGTTATGATATTCAACATCCTTATTGCCTTTTCATTTTTTAGCAGAAATGTTTCTGATATACTAAAATGGACAAAGTTCTTTTCTAATCTTGATCTACCAATAATTAAAAAAAAAATCAGGAATGGGTATTGAGTTTTAATGTTTTTGTAATATCTATTGAAGGGCATTTTCTTCTTTAATCTGTTGATGTAGTGAATTTCAGTTATATATTTTCTAATCCAATTATATGTTCTATAATTGGATATGGATTTACTATTTTTAAGTAATATGTGTTTGGTAATACGTATTTAACATTTTTGCATTCACCCAATCAGTGGAATTGGCCTGATGGAGGGTGGAGGGAGTATGCACACATAACTTCTATAGCAGAATATAATTTTTTTTTTGCCCAGCTATTTGGCATTTCTTACATCAGAATATTTTTAAAATAACAAAAGTATTTATTAAAATATTGGTTTTAATATTACATATTTTTTTCTCTATGGTCTTCATTATATATGTCTGCTATTTGCAGAAAGATAACCACCTGATATTTCTGAATGGTGCTAATCAAACTAACAGCATTTAGAGCCACTTATAACTGCTATTGATACTTAAACTAAAAAAATAAATAAATAAGCTAAGCTTCCCAAGAAGAAAGTCATTCACTTGCTGTTCTGTGCCATTCAGAGGGCATCTAAGAAAAATTCGCAGTGCCAAAATGTTTCACCAATATATTTTATGCATGAATAGTTCTCTTAGGTAAAGTCAAGAGTCAGTTGATATTTATAATGCTAATTTTTATATTGTATTGATACTTAGATCTGTTTTGAATAATATTAAATAGGCTTTGCTCGTAAGCAGAAAATGATCATTGAAATACACCAATGGTAGATATCGTCACAAAGTCTGTTTTATGGTGTAGAACAAAAAGCAATTCGCCAACCAATGTTGGACATTATAATTATGAAACAATTTTTGGTATCATTTTATTGGTTTACTGATGTTCATTAGTGTGTAGTAAAGTATATGAAATGATATTGGAGGAAAAATAACCTAAAATCAACCTTGGAAATATGAACAGATACAATGTATTATTTTGCCAGGCTTAATATTGCTTTTTAAACTTTATTGAAATATACATTAAGAAAAGTATACAGATCAGAAGCATACAGCTTTGTGAATTTTTACAACCTGAACACATATGCATGTGAGTAGTACCCAAATTGAGAAACAGCATTTCCAGTACCTCAGAAGTTCCCATTTCATCCCATGCTTTTTTTGGATTTCAGCCTTCCAGAGGTAACCACTGTTCTGACTTCTAACAACATAGATTAGTTTTGCCTATTTTTTTTTTTTCCACTTCAAGAAAATCATCCTTTATGTGCTCTTTCGTGACTGGCTTTTTTGCTTAACTTTGTGAGATTTATCCATTGCACACTGTTTATTGATGGTTATTTGTGTAAATTTGTTTGGGTTATTATGTATGATATAGTACTAAAATGAAGAATCTCACATATATCTTATAGTGGATATGTGGCTTTCTAATATGCTAATTAGTCCCTGAAATATTAGTCACTAGTTAATATTCAAACAATTTATATTAAGAAATAACAATCTATTAATTATCTGATCCCTAATGTTTCTCAAATTAATGACAGTAGCAACTTGATAAGTTTTGTTCCAACAGACAGTGAAATTACTGACAGATCACCTTGAACTTGTGGAGGATTATGCATTGTTGGAGTGGATCTGTTTGTTTTACTCTTAGTCTTGGAACCTAGTGTTAAAAAATAAAAAGGCACAGCCTTTCTGAAGTTTTGATAGAAAGCACAAGGTGTTTACCCACATTCTCCCTTCAGACTCAGTCTCCCCTGTAACAGGCAGCTGCTGAAATCTTTGCTCAGTTCTTTCAGCCTTCCCAGCTATCATTTTGAAGCCTTGCTCAATCATGTACAGTTCAAAAGCTCCCTGCTCTGTGGATTACTCCTTTCCAGCTGCTCTGGCAATCCTGGACTCCATTTCCAGGCACCTTGCACTAAGATTACAGCTTTCTGCTTGAGTTCTCGATGCTCCTAGCTTGTCTAGACTAGAGAATACCTTATGGGAAACACCGTATAAAGTTGGATCTAAATCCATTGTGGTTCCTTTTTTTGAAAGAAAACCCTAGTTTTTTTCCTGCTATTAGTCACTCTCTGGTCTCTGAAAATTATTTTTCTGTTTTGTCCAGAGTTTATAGTTAGATAAATCTGATATAATATTCTGCCATTACTCAAATTGGAACTTCAGTAATTGAGAAATGAGCAAATAAAGTCTAAAAATAAAAGCACAAATTATATTTAGTGGATATTGAAAAAGAGATTATATACAGTTGGAGGAGGGTAGGATGTGAAAGACTTCATGGAATAAGTTAGTATTCAAAGTGAACCATGAGGGATTATTTGAATGGACTTCCATATACAGATAATAGGAGAGTATTCCAAGAGGAAGGAACAAATTGAACTGATGGGAAAGTACAGCCTGCATTTATATAAAAACAATTAGCAACCTGATTTGACTGGTTGGTTACTTCTCAGGGGAGTAATTAAAAAGAAGGCTTGCAAGTAGTTCTGCCCATGTTATAGCAGTGCTTAAATGCCAGGGTAGAAAGCCTGAAGTTAATGTGATAGACAGTGAAAACTATTTGAAATTGTTGAACTGGGCAGTGAGTAAGTTTGGGATTTGAACTTTAGGAAGACTAATCTTGGTGAAGGATGGATTGGAGTCAAGGAGGCAGAAAGATTAGTTAGGATGGGGTTATGGGAAGAATGAAAAAGAGCTTAAACTGGTGGTGACAGCATACCTAGAAAAGAACTGCAAAATACAGGAAATGAAGGAGAATGAGAAGGGTAGAAACTGAATGGCTGGAAGAATAGTGGCTTCTTCCAGTGGATGAATGTTGTTACTATTGGATACAATGGATATAAGTTGTTACTATTTGATTTCTATATGTATGTATTCATAAAGTGAGGATAATAATACAGGCTATACCATCTTTGCAGGAAACAGCTCTGGTCTCCTGGCTAAGTTTTCCTGCAATTTTTTCTGTCTTGTTTCTTATTCTCAACTAAGCCAGTGTGCCTATCAACACTTAACAGATTACTGCATCATATTTATGTTGACACTTCTGTTCTCAGTATGTATAGTTTAACTATCAACTGGAAATCGTGTGTGCTTTGAAAAGGAGGAACCAATATAAAATTATGATGTTAGTACTAATATAGCCAGCCATATGAAGCTCTTTTGCTTACAAAGGGTAGGGGGTGGGTTATGATAAAAATATATATAATTATAGAAATCTCAGAGTAGCAACCATGGTCTGTGACCAGAACTTTGGCAGCAGTAATTTGTGGGTCTTCCCGTTAGTGAGAGGTACTCCCCATGTATTCTCTTCTCATATCTTTCCACTATCCAAATTACCTTTTGAATCCTCCTTTATATATTCTTTACTTCCACATTTCTAAACAATGTTTCATAGAATGCTATATTATTCACCTCTGAGAGAGTCACAATAAACATTTGTAGCAAACAGTGTTCTACCTTGTTGTAAGAATAAAAGTGGGGCGGGCACAGTGGCTCACGCCTGTAATCCCAGCACTTTGGGAGGCTGAGGCAGGTAGATCACTTGAGGTCAGGAGTTCGAGACCAGCCTGGCCAACACAGTGAAACCCTGTCTTTACTAAAAATACAAAAATTAGCCAGGTGTGGTGGTGCATACCTCTAATCCCAGCTGCTTAGGAGGCTGAGGCACGAGAATTGCTTGAACCTGGGAGGCAGAGGTTGCAGTGAGCCCACATCACGCCACTGTACTCCAGCCTGGGCGACAGAGTGAGAGTCCATCTCAAAAAAAAGAAAAAAAATTAAACAATTAAAAAATTTTAAAAAATAAATAAAAGCGACATTTCTTGAAGTTGGATTTTCTAAAGAGCCTATGTAGATTTGTAAACATTAACACTGTACTACATTGAAGAATTCAGTTGGATGTCAGATCTTGGAGCTTTATTTTTTTGTGCTTTTAAAGAATATTGTTAGTGATGGAAGGTTTGTCAAGAGTGGATAATCTTCAAAAAGGAGACTCAGAAGAAGTTAATTAAAAAAAAACAAGAATGTGTTGTTGCATTTTCTTGGGTAATGATAGTACTAGCAATTTTACACATCAGTAATCTTGATAGTAAAATTTAAGTTCCATTTAAGAATCCTCCTGGGTTTTTTTAATTCATCTCAGATTTTTTTTTAGAGTTGAATAAAATTGTTAAAGACTAACTGAATGCCTTTGCAATTATGAATTTTATTATTTGACAATACATATTAGAAAATCTCCCAAATTTAACACAGAAAAAGGTATTCCAATTAACAGTTTTAAAGAGATTATTACAAATAAAATATTCCATCGGTAATGTACTTATTTGATTTTATAGTAGCTGTTTATTTTATTTTAAATATTGATTTTGTTTCTCAGCCAAAGCTTAATGTTAAACCTTGGAAAAAAATTGTTTCTTACAGGGCTGATCCCTTATCCAACATGGTTCTAACCTTCCGTACTAAAGAAGATGCAGTTTCCTTTGCTGAAAAAAATGGTATGTTTGGTCTGTTTTTGACAGAGTCAAGATATGGTTTTATGTTCTTACCTTAATTAAAATCAATCGGGTATACAGAATTTGAGTTGAAATCCAGTGCTTTCAATGTATCTAATATTTAATGTATCTAATCCAGTGGTTTCAGACTTTTTAATCTGCGTCAGAACACCCACCTCCAAAAAAAAAACCTAAATTGGAATACTCATCTAACATGTAAAAGACAAAGTGCTCTAATTTAAAGTACAGACAGGGAATGAAACTACTGAACACCTACCTTGTTTATGAATTCGTCTGTAAAATTACTAACATTTGGTTAAACTTAATTGAACATATATGGCAGCCTAGTCCAGTTTTGACACCTCCATTTACAATTAAGTTCTTTGAGCCAAAATGCAATGCCAAAATCTAGTCTATTAATCTATTTAATAACTCTTCAATTATTTGAAAATATTGTCATATTGCCTGTAAAATTTCCCTTCAGCCTAAATGCCCACATTTGCTACTTTTCTAGATATGGTGGGCGTAATACCAACCCTAATCTCAACTGTATAATAATATTAATGTGGCCTAAGAGTATATTCGCTTTTAGGGCAGCCACCTAACATCATTGGGTTATATTGATCTTGCTATCAACAAAAATGCAAAATGTCTTCCTTTTTCCTTATTTTCTGCTGTTAAGCCCACATAGTATAGTGAAAGGAAGTTTTGTAGTCAGACTAGTGTGGATTCTAATCTTGATTATGCCACTTTGAAGCTATATGATTTTGGATTAGTTTCATAATGGACAATGTTTCTTAGTTGAAATAAGGGTACCTACCTCATGAGGCGGGAAATAGCTGATACATAATAGATATTCTACTTGATAACTATTAGTTCTGACCTTCATCTCCCTCCAGCCAGTATGTCTGCTGTTTGTTTTCCTTAGATTCAAATGCACTACTAAACATTTGTACCTAATGTATCCTGTTATTCTAGTTTGTCAAATTGAATTTGTCTAAGTGCATCGTCACTGTAAGGCAGTATATAAAAATAAGAGATTATTAGTGTTGTCTAACATATCTGACATACAAATGTGAAAGCCCTATAAAGGTTATAATCTAACATATTTGCTTTCTTTTCCACTTGGTATTGTATAGCTTATGATTAAAAGTCTGAAGTTAACCTATCGGCCTTTGAATCTGTGTTGAGTCACTACCTGTATGACTTTATACTTCTGTTTCCCCATATGTGCAATGAGAATTACTATGAGGATTAAATGAGTTAATAAAAGTAAAAGTGCATAGTTAGACTAGGGTCTCACAAATAGTAAGTATATGATAGTATATAAATATATCCTATTATGTTATTAATAGACTTTAAAAAACTTTTTTCAAAAGGTTCTTAAGTGTAATTCCTTATTTATACTTTCTTGGCAAGTTCCAAGTTTCTTAATTACATAATTGTTCTTAAAAGTGGTCTTTTAAAATATTATTTTGACTTAAAATAACATTGCTCTCTTTTTAAACTGTAACATAGTTATGGAAAACAGTTCCATTAATTTTTTTATCTTTTCAGCTTACCATATTTCATGTCCAACACTTTGAAAATTATTCCTTTGAAGTCTGTGACGTGAGTTTAATAACAGGAAATCTAATTAAATTGTTAAATCCCTGATTAGTCTTTCTCTAAGTGGTCACAAGGACTGCATGACTACAGTTGCCATGTGAATTGCCGGTGTGAGCTCACCACTGTTCCTATTAAAATCAAGTGGCTTTCTCATCTGACTTCTACCTCCCCAGGAAAGAAAATTGAGGAACACTATCAAAGTCTATAGAAAGTGTAACTTTAAAAAGCCTAATGGTTAGTGACATAAAATTGTAGGCTAACAGTGAATCAGGAATTTTAACCTATAAGATAGCAGAACTATGTCCTGTCTTGGTTACTGCTTTGTGCCTAGCACCCAGCACAAAACCGGACATATAATGGACACTCAATATCTGATGGAATAAATGACTTTCTAAAATGTATTTCTCTGGCCGGGCACAGTGGCTTATGCCTGTTATCCCAGCACTTTGGGAGGTTGAGGTGGGTGGATCACTTGAGGTCAGGAGTTGTAGACCAGCCTGGCCAACAAAGCAAAACCCTGTCTCTACTAAAAATACAAAAATTACCTGGGCATGGTGGTGCACGCTTGTAGTCCTAGCTACTCAAGAGGCTGAGGCGGGAGAATCACAAGGCGGAGGTTGCAGTGAGCTGAGATCCTACCACTACACCCCAGCCTGGGTGACAGAGTGAGACTCAGTCTCAAAAAATAATTAATAAATAAATAGAAACATATTTCTTTACTCAAGAATTTGAAACCATTCTCATCTCCTGGAAACGTCCTCAATGATTATTCCACTCTTGATTTCGCTATAGTACTTACGATCTGCCTTATTTATTTAATGTGTAGCATTCTATGTCTTTAAATAGATAAAGCCTGTTTCTTCAGCTACAGTGGAAGCAAGATCTAAATAAACACCATTGAAGCATTACAGAAGTGGAGGTGGGGGATCTTTTCCAAATTCCACAGCATCCCCTTCCTTCTGATTTGCCCCTCTTGGGTAGGTAAATAGTAGTGAAGGACATACAAATGGATCCTCCCTGTCCCCCAGCTAAGTCATCTGTTGTCAGCTAGTGCTATTGAAGGTTGAGTGAACCAATGTTCTGATAAGTTAAGGCATTAAAAAAAAAAAAAAGTTCAGATGCACTACTATGTAAAGACTACTGGATTAAGAGGCTGGTAACTAAGATTCTCATTCCACAGTGGTCTGCCTCACAGCAGAACTTGAACAAGTCATACTTCAGTACACTTAGCCTTTTAGAAGCATATTTCTTTATCTTTGAAATGAGAAGTGGATTGGGTAATGTTCAAAACATATAGACTTAAGGATGTTAAAGCCCATGGGCTAGTTCATATATGTCTTTATTTCCTTGCTATCTAGCCCAGTGCCCTAATCATATGCTGTCTAGGGGAAAATGAGTTTTTGTTAATACAGCTGATTCTGTGTTAACAGTAAAATATGACAAAGGTTATACATTTATGGGCGTTAGTGCTTTCCTTTCAGTAGTATCTAGAAATAGGAAGTTAGGGTAAAACTGCCACATTCCTACACAAAAGATGATTTGTATATCATTTATCAAATTATATTTTATATTAATGTAGCCTAAAAGTATATTAGCTTTTGACAGTTATCAAATTGTATTTGATAATTGATATACAAATCAAATATCAATTGTATTTGATATACAGTTGATTATTTGTATATCAATTCAGGGACTATTCTGAAAATAAAAGCCTACCTTTCATCACCTTAGTTTTTTCATTTCCCTTTTAAATGTCAAATAAAAAGAGAAGTCATGAGCATGGTTTCCCTTGACATTAAAGACTGTAGAAAATCAATACAATACGGGGAGTAAGATTTTCAGATTCAGTTGCTTTCTGGAAAACTTTTTTTTGAGAGGGGATGGGGAGACAGTCTCACTCTGTCACCCAGGCTAGAGTGCAGTGGCATGATCTCTACTCAATGCAACCTCCACCTCCCAGGTTCAAGCGATTCTCCTGCCTCAGCTTCCTGGACTACAGGCATGCCACCACCATGTCCAACTAATTTTTTTTTTTTTTTGAAGAGACAGGAGTTCCACCATGTTGGCCAGGCCAGCCTTGAACTCCTGACCTCAGATGATCCACCCGCCTTGGCCTCCCAAAGTGCTGGGATTACAGGCGTGAGCCACTGCACCCAGCCTTACAAAACATATTTAATGCCCCCTAATTATATTTTGAGACTTGGGTAATAAGTATTATCACCACAGAAAGTAACATAAACACTAAATCATGAGCTAGGCACTATGCTAAGTGCTTTTCATTCTCATTTAGTAACTCTATGAAGCAGGAACAGTTATCTCCATTTAATTGTTCAAGGAAACAGGTTTAGAGACATTAAGTAACAGGGTCACTGACATACTTACAAGAAGGTGAACAAGTTTTACTTGAACAGTGGTGTTTATTCATTTATATATGGTCTATGACTGCTTTTCAGCTACAGTGGTAGAAAAGTAGTTGTAATATAGACTATATGGCCCCAGAGCCTAAAAATAATTACTACTTGGCCCTTTACAGAAAATTTTAGGTGATCTCTAGTCTAAACTGTTATGTATACTGCCTCAATACTCTGACATTTGTGTAAGTCCCAAAATACCTTTTATTCAAACATCTTCAAAAGTCTGTGTTTAATAGACAAATTCCTCAACTGATAATTCAAAGTTCTTCACAGTATAGGCACCAACTTATTACCAAAGCACTAACAAGTTTTATCTTACTGTGTTCCAACTCTACTTTCTGCCCTTACATTCCAAACCTGCTATACACCTTACTCCCTCTACAAGCTCATTAATACTGTTCTCATTCTTATCCCTGCCTATGAAACTCCAACCTAGTCTTCAAAGTCTATTTCATATGCTGTCTCATTTCTTGATCCCTTTTCTTATTCCCCTCCTTCACTTCCACCTCCCGTCTACTACTGGATGAACTCCTCTTTCTTCCTTTTAACTTTCACAGTAATTTGTTCCTTTCTTGCAGCTCTTATAGTATGGTTTTCTCTTTTACCTTTTTTGTACTGCACTCAGTCAGAAGCATGTTGAACACACCCTATTTTATGTCAGCGCTATATGGCTAGGCTCTGGGGATAGTTAAATAAGGCATGGTTCTTACACTCAAACTGTAATATTTTATCCTGCCTATTGGATTATAAGAATTTACCAGGGAAAACAAGTCCTATTTATATTTTAATGTGCTCAATAAATATTGGTGAATTTTAACAGCAAATTTAGTAATATTGTAAATGATTCTCCAGATTATGCTTTAAACTTTTCTTTATATCACCTTAATTTGGTGACTTACTGTTTTTTTTAGAAGAACTGTTAATCTGTTAATTCCCTGTAATTAGAAACCTGAAGAAAGCAAAGTATAGTAGGATGATTAA